ATTAATAATCATCATAAATAATTAACAAATGGTATTAATGTATAATGTATAATTAAAATTAATTTTTGATTTATATTAATTAATATTATTTATTACAGTTTTGTAAGGAATTGGTCCCTCCCTCTAATGGTCATCCGATTTATCTGTTAACCTTGAGGGCATTTTTGTCCTTTTTTCTTTTCTTTGTCTTTACTTAAAAGATCAATCTCATAAAAACCATACAAACCACATGGACCAAATCTAAAATTAAGTCTAAAAATAAAATAAAAATATTAATTCTATAATACATTGAGTTCATAAAATTAATTAATTATTATATTTTAATATATATTAATTATTATACTTATAAGTTTTATTTTAAAAAAACAGTATATTTTCTTTCATAAAAATATATATTACATACGTCTACACGTGCACGTACACTTACACATGTATATAGTGAGGTTCAACAAAAATTTATCAAGATTAATTGATTTATATTAAAAAACCTCACCTTCCACCTATTTTTATTTTAAAAAATATAATATATAAATAAAAATCGAGCAAAATAAATTATACAAAAAAAAAAACAATAAATTTTTCTCACTAATTTGACATTCATGTTTATATATTCTTTCCATCCGTTTTTTCCGTGATTTTTAGGTTTTATTTATTTATTTTGCATTGGGAAATAGAGTTGAGTTCATGAGAAAATAATAAATAAATGAAAAACCGAAAAATCATGAAAAAAATGATAAATAAATGAAAAACCAAAAAATCATGAAAAAAATGATGAAAAAAATATATCAATATGGTGTAATTAATTTCGCTCGATTTTTATTTATTTTTTGGTTTTTCCGAATAAAAACTTGGATTGGTGAGATTTTTTTTTTTTTTTGAAATTAAAATATTGTTATAAAAGTTCATTTAATCATATACATTGAATCAATTAATCTAATGATTGATGAATGTATGTTTCCCGTAAAAAGGTTGAACCTCATATGTATATATGATATGTGTATGTATGTGTGTATACGTACGTTAATACATATTTTTTTGAAAGAATATATATTATATATTAAAATTAAACTTAAAGTATAATACTTAATTAATATATATATATATATATATATATATATATTGTTTTTTTATTTTTTAGGCTTAAATATAGATTTGGTCCCTATGGTTTGTATGGTTTTTACGAAATTGGTCCTTCAAATAAAGACAAAAAAGAAAAAAGGACAAAAATGCTCTTAAATTTAACGGAGAACCAAATAACCATTAAAGGATGGGACCAATTCGTTATAAAACGACATACGAGAAGTCCTAATCCGTAATGATTAAAGTTGAAGGACATTTTTTGTAAAAAACAAACACCAAATTCATAATTTACTCTAATAAAAATATTTGAACCCTGTATTTACATGTGGGTCCCTCTTCTTTTATGTTTTTGTGGTATTGTTGACCCTTATCCATGACTATTAAGACGAGCATTTTCAATCACTTTCCAACAATTTTGGTGGTCCATTTTTTTAAATACCTACCACCATCTCTATCTCTATCTCTTTTTCCAACTTCTCTTTTTATCAATATCAGTATGGGATAGTTAATTAGATACCTATTATTTATTAATAATAGGTGTTTGGTTAGATGTATTAAACAGTATTCAATGAAAATAAATATATAAAAAACTGTTTGGTTTTCTATAATATAATGAATTTATATACAACCACATGTTATAACCTGTAAAATAATGTTTCATTCATTTATATATTCGGCCGTCTTGTTCTAAAAATTCTGTAACTCACAAGAGTTTTCTATCACCTTCTTCAACGCTATTGAGTGAGTTGTTCCCATATTTAAGGTTTATGGCAATGGTTGTCAACTTGTCTTGGTTCGTAACCATACATATTTCAATCCTAACCGGATCTAACCCACTTCGGTCTTCAAGGAAAATTCCTAGGCACTAAAGGGTTTTTGGCTTGGGTCTTTGCTTTCAATGAAATAAAGAGGTTTAAACCTCACCGAAGATGAAAGTTGTGTGTGAATTTATTCCCTTTACATTAATGGTATTTGGTTAAAAACCAATGAATCATCATCATTATGCAATTGAAACCATCATCATTTTATGATAAATTTAAGTATTTGGTTTTGATGTCGGTGTATACGTGTGAGAAAAAATAAAACCGACAAGAGAGACGGGTTGTGTTGAGAAGAAGGGAATCTCTCATCCATTACACAGTGTTCGACCAATTTAGTAAATCTCACTCGAAGGTAGACCGGAAAGGATAGAGAATAAAACCCCTAAAACATAGTATCTTATATTCAATTGCATCAAACCAGATACCATTAATAATTTCCATTTTCATTCCCTCCCCCTACCCTCAATCTAAAGCAGCAACAAGAAAAGAAAGGAGCACAGCAAAACCCTCTATTTCTTTTCCCTTCTAAATATCTTGATGCCATTTACATTTTCTAATACAATTTCACCTATATATATCTATAGCCAAATAACACACACACACATATATATATATATATATATATAATTTTATGAATCTCTAAGATGAACAACACCCAGCCTTTTTTGGTTGCTCCTCTTTCTTCTTCTCTTGGTTCGCTTCCAAAACCACGGTTTTTCTGCTACCGACAGAAGGATCTTTCTTCAGTTCTTGAGATTGGATCACCTTCTTACTCAAGATGTCGTAAATCTCTTTAACAATCGTCTGAAAAGCAGCATTTACGTTTGAGGAATCTAGGGCTGAAGTTTCCGTAAAGAATAGAGTTTCTGATTCCGCTAATGACTTCCCCTCGGCTGTTGAAACTTCTCTCGCATCTTTAAGATCCTTTTTGTTGCCCACGAGTATTGTAACTACATTCATATCGCAGTGAGCTGGCTCCACAAATAAAGTAAAAAAAACCCATCAGAAATTCGAAAAAACCAAACGAGCCCACTAAATCTTACCAAAAGGTAGGGTCAGAGGGGGATGTATGCAGACATGTTTTCTCTCTCAGATGGTAGAGTGATTCTTTCCGTAAAGATTCCAACTTTTTTTTTTGGGGGAAAAGGGGACGGAACCCCCAGAAAAAATTTATTCAATAAAAGATAAAAGATAATGTTTCCGTAAAGATTCCAACTTACAAAAAGCTTGTGCGAAAAAAGAAATTTGATACCCGAAGGTGGGTCTAAGTAAACATCACTAACCGAGTAAGAGTCCCTCCCTTAACTTATCAGGTCAGTACCATGGACGGGTAAGAGGTGGTAAGCAGATAGTAAACAACCCCTTAGAGTATAATACAGTAGGATACTCCTTTACTAATAGAAGTCAAACTTTGACTTCCATGGTCAAACAAGTCACAACTCACAAGTCAAACACTAAATCCGATACCTTAATATTGATGGCTAATGAACTTGATTTCTTAATTTTGAAAACATCAATGTCAACTCGACTCGTTTGACCACAAAAGTCAAAATGTACGAAGAAAGGAAGCATGATATGTTTATACTCACTGTGAAGTTCGTGAAGCCATCTGCCAACACTATCGAACGTTTGACGCCTGCTGATGTCGTAGACCACAAGAGCCCCAACGGCACCTCTGTAATACGCAGATGTAACAGCTCTAAAGCGTTCTTGACCAGCCGTGTCCCATATTTGTGCCTTAACTTCTTTCCCATTAATTTCCATCTTCTGAGTTTGAAATTCTACTCCTATTGTAGACTTTGAATTTGAGTAAAACTCGTTTCTTGCAAATCTTGCGAGCAAGTTTGACTTTCCGACACCCGAGTCACCAAGTAAGACAATCTTAAAGAGGTAATCATCACCTGAATCTTCTTCGGAATAAAAAGCCATCTTCTAATCTTTTACACAATGCAACATGCTACGAAACCATATTCAGGATCTTGTAGCTTCTTCAAAATGCCAGTCATCAAACTTGACCTAATCAGCACACCCGAGTATTTAAAAATCTAAATAAGAAGTCGTTTTGTTTGGTTTATATATATACACCAAAGACTTTAGGGTAAATGTCAGGTCTACATACATCTTATCCTCCAAGACTCCACCTCCAGATGAGATATAATGGGCTCGTTTGGTTCATATATGCCAAAAAAACTAAGAGACTGTTACCAATACAAATCAGATACGTCCTAACCGAATAAGAGCGTGATCTGGGCAAGAGGTTTGGTGTAGATAAGACTGAAAATGGTTGTTTACCAAGCTTTCGGGTAAGAGCTGACTAAAGCAACCCTTTCCTTACTGGGCCAGCATATCAGTCAACATATTTATGGGACAGTGTGTGGTGGTAAACAACATCCCTTCTTACCGGGTAAGCACCTCTAACACAGTAAGAGGCGCTCAATGAGTGGTAAACAACCCCTTAAGTTTTCTTCCTATGAACCAAACCCAAAAACAATTGAGCAAAAATCGTACGTCAGCATTGTTATAAAATGACCCTCACCTATTTAATTTGGTGGAGCCGAACACTTTCTGCTGTTGCTAAGTTCCTCCCCCTCCCAGTTATTCACTGCAGGCCTCTAATCTCAAACCTGAAAGGTACAAAGAATAGCCTCTCAATATTGATGTACCTATACAAGAAGTTATTCAAGAAACCATCCAAGAACATGGACGATTATCATTTAAGAGAAATGCATCATATTGAGTTCATAAAATATTCTACTCCCAAACACTACCTCTGGTTGGGATATGCTGCACTCGTTTGGTTTAGAACATTCTAAAGAAAACTAAATGAGCTACCCAAAGGTGGGGTCCAGGAGGGACCCGACCTAGTAGAGCGGCTGTTTCTGTGAAGACTCTAGGTTTGTGAAAAGCGAGTGAAAGAGAGAAATTCATATAAGATAACTTTTGAAAAGCAAGTTATGAGTAAGAAAACATAGGTAAAATAAATAGTTACCAGGGAGTTGATACCAGTTGGCTTGAGAACCGACTTTGGTGGACATAATAAGATATTATCAACTATAAGTTGGATCCATTGGCCCTCTGGCAATTAAGATATAACCAAAGGCATCACCGTATGTGCAATCTACACCACCTCAAGACAGAATCACGAGCAACCAAATTCCACCCTCAATTTCAAAAACCGGTTTTCTGAAACAAGAATAAGAAAGAAAATCAACTAATTAACCCTTTCAGAACAGAACCACTAAAGAATTCAGTTAAGTTTAGATTCCAATGAGGTAAAAAGGCAACAACAGTGTGTAGATCATACAGACAACAACCACAAGTATGTTGGAGACAATCAAACCATCTACATCTGAAGATTAAAAGATATTGTGGGCAAAAGGTGAAAATGAAAGCAAAATTTCTCTTACTTCTAGCATATGAGCCAATAATTCTAAGGGTGCATTTGGTACACTGACGGAATGGACTGACAGGATGGACGAGATTGAGATAGGTGGGTGAAAGAATTGTGGAAGGTTTTAGGGTTTTCATTGAACATCTCCTTAATTTTTGTTCCACCTATTTTGGTCATTTTTGTCCCGCTCAGTCATGTCATGTCCCAGTTTAATGCCACGCCAAATGGACAAGCTATTATCCTATTTGTTCCTATTCTTTGTACCAAACACAGCCGAAAAGAACTTTGATCTAATGACACCAGCTTCCAAGCAACCAATAATGCAAAAACAACCAAGTTAACTAGATTGTATCGTGCCACAAACAGCTACACCAAATTAACAGTTTCCCTAAAGCTTTTTATCAAGATGGCAAGTTTACAAAGGCCACTAGACACAGTGGGACTAGGAAGAAACACTCTGCATTCAGTTACAAGACAGCCATATCAAAACTTTACTGTGCCACCATCATAGAAGGTAATAATGGAAAGCCAACCCCAACTCACTATTTCAACAAAACCGTTACCACATAACCAGTTTTGCCACATCTTTGTGGGAGATAAGAGATGTAAAAGATTCCTCTAACAACTATGCAATTAGTGAGTGAGTGATAGACACAACACAAACACATGCATACCAATATAAACCAAATCAATCAAACGAGCCCAATATATTCCTTCGGAGGTGGGGTCTGGGGGTAAAGGATGTATGCAAACCTGACTTCTATCCTAAAGAGTAGTTGCAAATATGAGTAAGCAGAAACAATATAAATAGAGGCAAGTACTAGAAAAACATAGTCAAGGTGTGGAAACTACAGAGCTCTAGTCTAACTTATGGTTCTGGTAACCTAACTACTAACTCACTGACCCTATCCCGTACCTCCCATCTAGATTCCCACCGCTAGTCAGATGAATCAATTGGAAGTTTCCTTTTCTAAAGATCCCTTTAATCATACTACTTAAGTCAAGAGATCTGAAAATGGACACAAGATACGTGTCTGATGGAACCATGCATCAAGGCCGTTAACATGATGGCTACAGAGACTCAGATCAACCAAGAAGTCAGATGATATATCCTGACATTCACATCTTCTGGGAACAAAGCAAGAACAGCAGTCATTGAGAGTTGAGACTGAATTATCTTGATCAGGATACTACTATCCTAAAGATCAAATTTAATGCCCTTCGACATAACATTCTTCAGTACAATATCTATCTCATCCGCAAAGAGAAATACTCCTATAACACAAAATTCTCAAAAAATTACTGTTCTTTGTACTAACAAATCATCTCTAGCCAAAAACCCATTTAGATAAAAAAAAAACATGTGAAACAGTTCCAACACTATTCAAATAAAGGTATTCAATTCCCATGTCTTGGTCAACAAAAATCCCTTTAGTTATGAACAGCACATTAATAAAGTCAACAACCAATTAACACTTTTCAATCCAGCATAGATCCAAAAATCATGATTACACACAAAAGAAGTCAACCTACATACTGATGACTCAATTGGCATTCAAAATTTACTTTTACCAAGATGCTTATTTTCTCAAGGACCCATGAAAAAGGAAGTACCTTACCCACATAGTTTACAATTACCCGCAAACAAATTCAAATCACATGCTTATTTCTCAATAAGCCCATAAATTAATCACATTTAAATTATAAAAATCGGCAAAAATGAAAGGATTTCCCCAAGTTTTTACAGGAAAATAAAGAAAGTAGAGCACGAAATTGTTGAACATACCCCTAACTTGTTTTACCGTTTGAAACAGACCCTTTTCACCTCCTCCTCTCTCTTAGCAATGGAGATCAAATTAACCGCTCACAATGTAGATACAAGAATGTAGAAGGAACGGGCAAGCATAAAATGTAAATTATTCAACAATGTGGAACGGTTAGTTATTTAATTAATTGGTTAGAGAGAGAAAGAGAGGAATTAGGGTTCGAGAAGGGGAGAGGAGATAGATGGAGAGTGACGAACCAGATTCAGGAGGGTAAAAGAAGACATGGCTGCAAAAATTGGGCTGTGAAATGGGCTTCATCAAATCAAAATGAACTTCACTCTTCCTTCCAACTTCCAAGATAGCTTCAAAAAATTGCAACATTTTTTAGAAATTGTGGATTCTTTTTAATAAAACTTGGAATATAACAAAAGGTTGTTTATTTAATTTTAATAACTTATATTTTTTTAATATATATCTGAATTAAAATAAGCATCAAATTAAGTATCATTTTAAAAGCTTTTTAACAAAAAAAATTAATTATAATTCTCATTAATAAAAAATCGTTATTTGATAACATAATATTAATTTAAAATTATGTATTAAGTTTAATCATAAATTATTATTAATTAATTTTAATTGTGAATTGTAAATTAATTGTGTGTGCATAAAAATATTATTTTTACTTTTTTTATAGGAAAAATACAAAAATTAGACAAAAAAGCTAAAATGATTCGTAATTTAACGAATGCTTTAATCAGATAAATCATGACCAAGACAAATTGAATACCACAAGAACCAAATTCATAATAAATATATCCAAAACCAAACAAACAAGCTTGGTATATCCCTCCGGAAGGTGGAGTCTCGAGAGGGTGAGATGACCGTAGACCAAACCTCTACCCCAAAGAGTAGAACGACTGTTTTTCCATGAAGACCCCCACCTTATGCAAAATGTGCGGGAAAAAACATAGCAAGGACAAGAAAGGAAACTTGAAAACAAGTGAGGCGTGGTCAAAATTTGTAAAACGAGCTATAAGTAAGCAACTTAATCACAAACAAAACATACAAACTAAAGCATGCACAATCGTGCATGTAACTTGATATATATTAAATAATGCCCATAACTTACAACATATCAGTCAAACCAGTCAGCCTGCAAGACTCAAGTTGCTCGATGATACTCATCGATTTCTTGAAAATTTGCAACAGGTTTCATTTGATGTCCGTACTATGTAATCACACTTCTCAAATGGACGGTACTCGCAGGCGCTTTGAATTTCTTCCCTAAGAGTCACCTGTATATCCTAATATACATGATACAAAAAAAGATGATTGTTTCAGCTCTACAGTTGGATAACAAATACAACAACAAAAACATATAATGGTTTACACATCACAAGCAGAAGCCACCATCATAAGTTCTTTAGGAAAGTTTAATAGAGTTCGGAGGTTAGGATGAGGGTAGTCGATTGCAAGTAGGAATGATGTTGAGGCCAGAGGGTGGGCCAAGAGTATGAACTATGAAGATATGTTGGTGGTTTCTTTTGTTAAGCACAAGGAATTTATTTTTTTAGAATATTTAGATTACTCTTCAAAATAGCCATAGAAAAGAGATATTGAATAGAAACGATCTTAGGACTCCTAACATGTCCCCTCCAACATAGTCTAAACAAGCATAGATCGTGCCAGAGTTTCAAGAGTGGGTTAGACGAATGAGAAGGTTAGATAAGTATTGACCATGTGAGAATATTTGGAACCTCATTAGATTACTCTTCAGAAGAGTCCTTGAAGAGAAAATGGTGGTTCCAACATATATTGATGAGAAATGGTCCACGTTCGGCCGATGAGAGATTCTAACATCTTTGGTGGTTTCGGTTATAGGCTCTATGCATTCTTTTATAGCTCTATCTTCAAAGAAAAACATCTTTTTTGCTTATTTATGCATACATCCCATCCTTGTAGGGGATATCCTAAGTAAGATTTACTGGATTTTTTTTGGTTTGTTTTATTTGAACTACAATTGTATTCGCGCAATACAGTGAGATAAATCTTCATTTTAATATTTAGTTTTTATTATTTGTCTCTATCGATATAATACGATATTATGTGGTTTTGAAAAAAGCGAAAATATTTTTATTTTTGAATGAAATGTAAATTTGAAGATAGCATAAAAAAATAAAATTGATATTATTATTAAATTAACTATATAATAGTTCTCGTTTTTTTGGTGTAACTTCTTTAATTTAATCTTTTATTATAATTTAATTTAGRTCTAATAACAAADTAATTTATTTTTKGTTTAATAATATAATTTTTATTAAAGATAATAATTAAACATTCGGTTAGAAACTCAATGATTATCTTAATTGTATTTTAGATTTTTCTATATTTAAAATAGATGTTTATCATGTATTTGATTATGTTTATCTGCAATTAGTTACACGAATTTAAAAATGAAGCTTTAATACAATGTACTTACATAAAATCACTTGTAATCTTGAATTTTAAGTAATATGCATCAATAAACAGTACTTCATGCATAAAAAATAGTTTTAAGAATTTTTGTCAAATACTTTATAATATAATATAGATATAGTGAATTTTGTTGCACCAATATGTCCTGCTACTTGGTTCTTCCTGTTTTTGCGTCAAAAGTTGTGGAATAGTTATTGCCAAAGGTTCTTTGACCATTTCTTTCTTACTTTGGAGTTTGGTCTAACCAATATGGTTCATAGAACATCTTATAAGCATTTTAATTATAAAAAAGAGGGTTTATTTTTTAGCAGTTTAATAAGCTTAATAAGACTCTTAGTTTATTCAGTTAATTATATATGACTCTTTGGTGGTGACTTAATGATATAGAAAGTGGCTTATGAGTTGGTTGGTTGGTATGAATTAAGTTCTCTGTGGGTAAAACTATCTGTTTCGATTA